CTACTACTACGACCAATTTGCGAAAACAAGGTCAAACAACTTCTATAAAACGAAAGAAGACTGCGACCACGCAAAAGGCCACATTATCTTGGTCTTCATATCTTCAAGTATAGTAGTTCATTTCATAAATCTGATTTTTAAATTGATGTTCTAATGTATACGGGATAAATCTAAAAGATTTTTAATCTTTCGGAGCCTTCCAGATATCTCCTTTAAATATAAGAGGAAATATGCTTTCTCGTTAAGCCAAATGATGAGCTCTATTATGTTTAGATTTCAGTCTGTGTATTAGATAACAAGGAAGAGAATACTTGGCACTAGCCATATATACGTCTTTAGTATGAAAAAGAAATATCATCGGACATATAAATAATTTGCACAGACATCAGAGCATTTCTATCCTTAGGAGGGAGTTGTGTTGCAGTTTTTAAATAGGTCAATATGAAGGTAATAGACTTACACATCACCAATAGAGATCAAGAAGGAGGAACTACATATAGTGAGATTACAAGCAAATGGAGTAATATAATGTTAATAAAAAATGTACACACAAATCATGGTGGAATGGAAGGAAATCCATTAGCCTACCGGAGGACATCACCATTTGAGAAGCCGCAACCACTCCCCGCGCCTGCAGCCGCCGCAACAACCGGCAGTGATACTTGTCGCGACCGACTGGCCGGAGGTAGACGTAGTTGCATAATCTGGCCAACGGCAGAATTCGGTCCCCCGAGGCCAGCCTGTACGGCTGGGGAAGTAGTCGACAAACTGTTCCTAGTAGGGGAGCTAGGGTGCTCCATTTGGCTGGACGACTGAGCCGAAAAAATGGCTAGGTCCTCAGAGCCTAAATGACCAGAGTGGATGTCAGGAAAAAAGACTGTTTGACGGTGCCCACCTGAACCAGAAACAGAACAACTCCCACTGAGGCCTGCGAAGTTCGCCGAATGAGGAGGGGAGCAGAGGGAAGGAAGCATGACTGAACCAGGTGGCACCGTAGCGCCATATGAACGATAAAGTGTAGAAAGCACCGACTCCATGTGCTGGAGAGATAAGACCAAGAGAAACGAGACAAGATAGAAAAAAATTTGAGTGAGGTAAATCAAAGCCATCATCAGAGCAACTTAAGTGAACGTAGAACTAATAAGCGATTAATTAAGGTAAACCAATTTGATGAACCAGTTTAAAGATTTCATAAAAATGAAGTTACCACCGATGTGAGAGACGATGACGAAAAAGGAAATGTAAAAAAGAAGCAAACAGGTGTGAATACTGTGGTACAGTAGAATTATACCACGCTACCTCTAACGAGTCTATTTTATTCTGTATATCACCTATACGACCTAATGTGACATTCGGCAGAATTAGTCTATTAGCAAAATACAGACGGGATGTTGCGATAAAAGGAGCTTCCCCAAGAAGCGTCTTAGACAGTAGTAAAATTGGCTTTTAGTTCTATAGGAATATATTGAGATCTTCATAATGCAGCTGAATAAATAGACGTGGAGCTAAAGTTATTTCGCTCCGATATTACCGTCACGTGCCCCATGCCTTAGTAGTGATGCCTCAATGTACTAATGAGACAATTGCATGAATCATTTCTGAGATTTTACTAACCTATTATACTTAAAAATTACTAATTCTATAAATAAAATTTATAAGGAGAGTAGTAGGAGTACAATAAAATTTTTATTTTCGGAGAGATTACGGTATTTCATACTAAAAATTCTCCTCAGAGGTTATATGTTAAAAAGCTAAATGAATAACTAGCAAGATCAGTGTATTCAAAAGATATTACCTACGTAGTAAAAATATCTGGAAAAATTATGTGATAATTATGAAATGTTGTTGCTCCTAAGAAACGACACACAAACGATCTTTTTCTAAGGTCTGAAGACCAAGAGGGTA